AAGAAAAAGAAAAAGCAAAATTTAACCTAAACTTCGAATTCACAGAGTTGGCCAGAAACTATAAACAGAATACTATGAATGACTATTGATCAGAATTTTCACAGTTGTGGATGCTATTTTCAGAAACCAGTCTGGGCGAGAAGTTGGGGTTATAAACAAACTGGGTCCTTTAGCAGGTCAGTGGATCCACAGCCCCCGTCTTGTGGCGAACAGGGTGTAGGGGGAAGACGTAGGTTTGGGCTAAGATGTGGACTAGAAGGACTCATGCTTGGTGGCCAGGAGAGAGAGAGAGAGCAGACAGAGAGGAAGAGGTGGGTGAGCAGCAGATGCCCAGTTCAAAAGCATTAACAATACACCATGCAAGGAGGATGGGCGCTGGCGTGCAGAGGACACTCGAATGGACAGCAGACATGGAGTCTCGGGCGGGGTGGGCCCAGCACACCAGGCAAAGGAGGCAGATGGGTCAGAGGAGCAGGGGTCATGGAAGGGCTGACCCACCTCATCTGGGTGTGAAACATGGACTTCACTGCCTCATGGCTGAAAGACAAAACAGACACCAGGTGGAGTCAATACCACTGGCTGACCTGCCCAGTGGGCAAGGTGCCCCACAACTGTCACAGACACCAGGTGAAGTCAATACCACTAGCCGGCCTGCCTAGTTGGCAAGGCGCCACTCACTGTCACAGCAGCCTACATCCTAGCCCTTCCAGCCGGCCCCAGGGCAGGATGCGGCTGGCCTGGTGGACAGTGCCCTGGTTTTAGAGTGAGGAGGTCTGGGAGCAGAAGGCTCTTGGCCCTGCATAGCTTGCTTCCTTCCCTGGGCCTCCGGGTCTCACCTGCCACCTGGCAGGGGGTGTCCTGAGAATGCATTTGAAGTCCAGTGCTAAGATGTGGTCCACTCACGCAGCTAGTAGGTAAAACTGGTCAGAGCTGGAATCAGGACCCAATGCCAGGCCCAGGGGTCTCTCTAGATGGCAGGTGGCCAGGCAGTGAACGCAAAGACATCTTCTCACACAGAAGCCAAGCAGCCCAGACAAACATGGCTTCTCAGAATTAGTAGACACAGGGAAGCCAGAGCAGAAGCCGAGAGGACAGAGGAAGGTTCCCAGGTTCCTTGGCCATTGTGCAGAGTGACCGGCAGAGTCCCGGGTCGCCATAGCTTAGGGAAGGGCCTAGGGAATCAGCCCTGCACATGGCTGAGTGTGATCTCCTTGCCAGCCAGGCCGGACTGGAAATCTGGCCCTCTCAGGAGATTGCAGGAGGTCCAGGCAGTGACCCCCAAGAGGCTTGGGAGGACAAATACAGATGCTGGGAAAATAGTATCATCAAGATCCAAAATAAACTTTCCCATCTTAAGGTCTTTCTCAATTCCATTAGAAACTGACATCAGAAACGGGCAGGAAGAGGGAAATCAGGTCCTTGCCACGTTGATGGCGAGGCCTAGCTCTCAGCGGGACCCAGAGTCTACTGTTTCTGGCTTCTGGGGAATCACTGGGAAAATGCGCTTAATGCTAGAAGCTTTAGGGTGTGTTCCTGCAGCCTCCCTCAACCTGAATTCTGCATGACCTCAGAGAGATGATTCCAGCTTCACATTTTAAAACAGACGCTAGAGGCTCATCTAACATGCCAGGCAGCCTCGAGAAACACGC